ATCCCTTCAGCCACCCCTGGGCCGTGGCAGGGACAGGACCCTCTGGAAGGGCCGGGGGGATCCCTTCAGCCACCCCTGGGCCGTGGCAGGGACAGCCAGCACAGCCCTGTGCCCCGGCCGTGGCTCAGGGCACGGCACATCCATGGGAATGAGGCATGGAATGAGCTGGGAACTAGGCATGGATCAGGCAGGGAGGCAGCTGGGCTGATATCCTGTATTTGCTGCCTCCCCCGTGGAGGTTTTAGTGGGAGGTTTTAGTGGCTGGATAAAAGGCTCCAGCCTGGAGGAGCCCTGCTGGAGGTGGTGTTGCTCTTCCCTGCAGTTGTTTTGTGTTGAGCAGAGTTTCCCAGAATTTTAACCCCTCTCAGGGATCCCATCCCTGGGATCCCCCCTCACTGGGGGTCCGGGGAGTGTTTTGTGTCCCCTCTCTCCTGGGGTGACAGGACATGGGATAAGCTGTGGATGAGCAGTTGGATTGATCTGGTTTGCTGCCCCCAGACCTGTTTTTGGGGGGCTTCTCCCTGGGGGGCTCAGGCTGCTGAACAGGCCTTGGCACCCCCAGGGGCTTTCCAGAGGTGTTGGGCCTTGCTTGGATCAAGCCAGGCTGGGAATTAATTCCATGGCAGGAGGTGTCCAGCCCTGCAGAGCCTGGCTTTCCCAGGAGGAGAACATCCCCTGTGCCATGGAAAGCTGTCCCCCAACACCTCCAGAACAAGATCCTTGGCATCCCTGGGGGTGCTCAGCTGGAGTTCTGGGGGGTCTCTGTGGAGGTCCCTGTGGGTGTTATCCCTGTTGAGGTGATTAAAAATCCCCCCAGCTCTTGGAGCACTGGGATCCTGGCAGTGGGTGCTGCGGGGGACACCCCGGGACCTTCCTTTGTCCATGGATTTACTCCCCAGTTATTGGTGGATGAGATGTTTTGTAGTTGCAGCTCATTTTTCTGGCATGGCCCTTCTTCCCTCTGGGTTAGTTGTGGACCGTGTGCTGTCCCTTTGGGATCTCACATCCCTCAAGGAACGGATCTGCCAGGATTTTGGGCACCTCCCTGCTGGCACAGGGCTCCTACCCCTGAGTTATCCAAGGAGGCTCCATGGACATGGAGCCTCTTGGAAGGCTCCTGGGTTGGTCAGTAGCAGGTTTGTGAGAGGATGAAGATGAGGATGAGGATGGGATGGTCCTGGTGGGAAGATGGGAGGGTTTGAGCTGAGCTCGAGCTGCAGCAGAGTCACAGCCCTGCGTTGCTGCAGGGCCGAGTCTGAGCTGAGACTGGCTCAAGTTAGGCCAGACTTAGGAAAAATGTCTTACAGGGAATGTGTGTGGGGCTGGTGTGAGCCCCTGGGGCTTTGTGGAGAGGTGGGATGAGCACAGGGATGGGAGCTGTGGGATCCACGCTGCCTGCGGGACGGGATCACTGTCACTTCACTGCTGGAAGGAGGGGAGAGATTTGGGATCAGCACAAGGCTCTTCAGCTGCTGGGGTCTGTATCCTCAGCCTCTGGTTCTTCTCTTCCATGACTGGGTGTTTATCTTCCCCTCTGGTGCCTGTGCCAGCCCTGGGGTTTATCCACAGGGCCTGGGATGTGCTTGGAGTGTGGGCTTGAACCCTGCCTGGCTTGGAATTCCCTCACTCCAACAGGGAGCAGGTGTGTGATTCCCCACGGCTCCAGTTACACATCCCAGTGTTAATTCTTTATAGTCTGCCTTAATTTCCCTTAATTGTGCCAGCTTGGCCCTCAAGTGCTTCATTCCCAGCTGGAATTGGGAGTTTTCTTTCCCCACTAACCTCCAGCTGCCCCTGTGTTTTCCAGGTGAGCCCTTTCCAGGGAGCTTGCCCTTTGAGTTCCTGCTCCTCTCCTCTCCCTGGATTTGGGTGCCAGCCTGTCCCCCCTGGAAGGCAGGAATGTGTGTGCAGGGCTGGGCTGGATGAAGCTCCTGCCTTTGTTCCCTTCCCAAGACACGGATCAGCCTGGGGAGATGAGGATTTGCTGGCAGCCAGTGAACTCCTGCTCTGGGCTGTCACAGGCTGTCACATTCCCTGGAATGACCAGGGAGCTGCAGGGAGCCCTGTTGCTGGGATAACCAGGGATTTGGGATGTCCTGGGCACGGGTTACAGGCTGTCAGGGCGCTGAGGTGGCTCCCTGCTCTGGAAGAGCAGCAGGGCTGTCCCTGCATCCCATCCCAGGTTTTTATTGCTGGAAGCTGAAAGAGAGTCCGGAGGAGGCCCCGGAGATGCTGCCAGGGCTGGAGCCCCTCTGCTCTGGAGCCAGGCTGGGAGAGCTGGGGGGGTTCACCTGGACAAGAGAAGGCTCCAGGGAGAGCTGAGAGCCCCTTGCAGGGCCTAAAGGGGCTCCAGGAGAGCTGGAGAGGGACTGGGGACAAGGGATGGAGG